GCCCCGCATGCGTGAGGCTGCGGCCCCGGGCTCCTCCTCGGATGGGGGCTGCAGGCAAGTGGGGCAGTGAGGCCAGAAGGATCCCAGGAGGTGCCGGAGCGGGAGACGGGCCGCAATGATGTTCTGAAACGCTTTCCTCCCCGTCCTCGGGAACCGGCCGCTGGGGAGCGGTGGGCAGCGCTGGCCGAGCCCGACCCGGCCCCCCGCCAGCCGCCCCCGACCTCAGCACTGCCAAGCCGCACCCCTGTCACTGGTCCGTTTGCTCGTCACAGCTCTCCAGCGACCACAGAACCTTCCAGGAGCTGGTCCCAGTCTGACCTCCTGTGAGCTGACTCCCCGGGGTTCAAGTTCGGATTCTGAGCTTGTTTGGTTCTGCCAGTCGGGCCGCGTGCAGGCCACCCTGGAGAGAGCGTGACCTGTGTGAAAATCCAATCATGAAGTGAACGACCTAAAAGCTCATTATCTCTATTTATTTTACCACAATGTGAACGAAAGAGACTGACAAGACACGGAACCGCCATGGGAAAGCGAGAGCCTCGGCTCCAACAGGGAATTATTCATAAAGGAGAAACCCAAGAACCCACCCCCCCCAAAAAAAAGAAAACCACAACCCTCTGTAGTTTTACACCCTTCACCTTTATGAATTGCATTTTAAGTTTATCCAGTATATCTTAGTGATTTCCTCATGTTAATACACAGAGAATTTCCTCTTTTAAGAATACTACCTAGGCTGGAGCGATAGCACAGCGGTAGGTCGTTTGCCTTACAAGCTGCCAACTTGGCTGACCCGAGTTCGATTCCTCTGCCCCTCTCGGAGAGCCCGGCAAGCTACTGAGAGTATCTCGCCTGCACGCAGAGCCTGGCAAGCTCCCCGTGAGGTACTTGATATGCCAGACACAGTAACAACAAGTCTCATGATGGAGACGTTACTGGGCCCGCAGGAGCAAGAATACTACATAGTATTATACAATATGACTAAATATAACTTAGTTATGAACTAAGGAGTTTGGATTTTTCCCAGTCACATCAAGGTTAACACAGATATCCTGTTATTTATTCCTACATGTGCTAAAGTACTCACATATAATAAATTATTCCCCAATACTTTCTGACAAAAGCCTCTTTTAAAGATGAAATCAGGCGGTTTGCGTCTACGTGGCTGGATCTGGAGCATGTCATGCTAAGCAACATGCTAACCTTCCGAAGTTAGTCAGAAGAAGAGGAACAGAACGATCTCCCTCAGCTGTGGTATACAAAGTATCATAATAAAGAGACAACAACTGCTCAAAGGCAGCAGAAACTGAGAACTTATCTTTTTTTTTTTAAATTTTTTTGTTTGTTTCCAGGTCGTACCTGCGATACACAGGGGTTACTCCTCACTCATGCACTCAGGAATTACTCCTGGCGGTGCTCAGGGGACCATATGGGATGCTGGGAATTGAACCCTGGTCAGCCATGTGCAAGACAAACGCCCTACCCTCTGTGCTATCACTCCAGCCCAAGAACTTATGTTTAAAAGGAAAAAATCACTGCAGAGGGCATGGGGGCAAAGGTTGTGGGGGTTGGCACACTCACTGAGACAAGGTGGGGAGGGGTGGGGTTGGAATATTTTTCACATGAAACCCTGCTATTATCAATATTGTAAATCATGGTGCCTAGAAAAATTTTTTTAAAAAAATAACTCTTCTAACTATTCTTTTGTAACTCCGTGGACTGAAAGTTTGAACATCTTTCTTCATGCAAAATTATAAAAGATGTTTGTTGTAAAATTGCCTATTCAGTCTATCTGCACACTTTTCTATTTAGTTGGTTGTCTTTTACGATTTGGTGAACATATTCACTGTAAGTCACCCTCATGCTATGCAAAAGAAGTCTGAAAACAAAAGACAGTCTCACTTCCCTCCTTACATTTATGAGACAATAATTCAATTCAGAGAAAGTGGGGAGAAAGTTTCGACAAATGGTTCTGTAACACTGAGCATCCAGCATAGACCAACATAGACCAAAAAAAATGAATGAAGACTTAACCCTCACAAACTAAGTCAGAAAAGATGTATTGCTCAAAATAAAATGTAATGGCCAGAGCTATAGATAGTACAGCGGGTAGGGCATTTGCCTTGCATGTGACTGACCCGGGTTCCTGAGTGCAGAGCCAGGAGTAACCCCTGAGCATCACTGGGTGTGACCCAAAAAGCAAAAATAAATAAATAAAAATTTTAAAAATGTAAGATGAAAACTTAGGAAAAAAGAAAACCTTCAGAATCTAGGTCTAAGCAAAAACTCCAGATCAAATAATTGGACCTCTAAACAGAACCAAACATAATTCATAAAAGAAAATCATCAAAAATTTTAAAATCTCTTTTCTGACCAAATAAAATATTTGGTCAGAAAAATGAAAACACAAGTCAGACATTGAGAGAAAACATTGAAATTCATTTATCTGACTATGTACAGAATTTTCAAATTTTAATAATTAAAAAATAGATTGGGCAAAACAGATGAACAGGCTGTATAGCTCACTGAAAGCAGATGATGAGCAAATAAGCACGACAACATTCTTAATGGTTATCAAAGACAAATTAAAATACAATGAAATATCATGACAAAAACAAACACTGTCCTCCCGTTGTTCATCGATTTGCTCGAGCGGGCCCAGTAATGTCTCCATTTTGTGACTTGTTGTTATTGTGTTTGGCATATTGAATACGTCATGCGGGCGAGATACTCTCCGTAGCTTGCTGGGTTCTCCGAGAGGGGCGGAGGAATTGAACATGGCTCGGCCGGGCTGGCTGTGTGCAAGGCAAATGCCCTACCGCTGTGCTATTGCTCTAGCCAAAATATTAAAATTGAAATTAATAATTGTGAGCAAGAATTGGCCTATGGAACAATGGCGGAGGGATTTTGGAGATCTGATGGATGTGGTGCTTAAATTAGTAATACTAATACTATTATAAATCATAATGTCTCAATAAGTTTTTTTGTTTGTTTTTGGGCCACACTTGGCTATACTCAGGGCTTTCTCTTGGCTCTATGTTCAGGGATCAGTCCTAGCATGGCTCAAGGGACATATGGGTTGTGGGACTCAAACCTGGTCAGCCACGTGCAAGGCAAGGGCCCTCCTTGTCTATTCCTCCAACCTCTCACTAAATTTTAATTGAAAAAAAAAATAATGATAGCACCATGTGCAGATGAGAATGCAGATGCTTTGGACTATTAATATATTCTGGCATGAATATAAACAAAATGTAGTATAGCAGTGTAATCATTTCCATGGGCTTGGGACAAAATGCAGAAAGCAGAGATGCTCATTTACAACCGTGGACAGTATCCAGGCAAACCTCTGGCAGGCTCTGCTACATTAGACAGAGGATTTGGAAGCGATCTGCGAGATTGCTTGTGTGTTTATCTTAATTTATTTCTGGACATTCGGATACTTAATTCACATCTTAGTGTTTTAGAAAATGCCCTTACGCCCCCTCCACCCGGTATGTTTTTACAGCAAAATTTGCTCTTTACTAAAATGGCAAAGAGCTTTAGACTATTCATCCTTTATTTCTCCTAGTTCTGCTTCGATTATTAACTTGGGATGCAAATTATCATCAGTTCATTGTAATATATGGTATTACATGGTGAAAATCTATGACTTAGAAACATATCACCCAGTTGTATGACAAAATGCCAGAAATAAAACTTTCTCAGTTGCTTTTGAGTCCATTTGTTTATGTAGGTTATTTCTTTTTTTTTTCTTTTTTTTTTCTTTTTTATTAGTGAAACACCATGAGGTACAGTTGTAGATTTACAAATTTTTGTGCTTGGATCTCGGTCATACCACGATCAAATACCCATCCCTCCACCAGTGCCCATTTTCCACCTATGTAGGTTATTTCTTTTCTTTTTTTTCTTCCTACTGGTGTGTGTTTGGCTTCAAAATAAAGCACTAGAAATGTATGTATTTATCACTTTTTTATGAGCTGAGTATAAGAAATATTAATGCATATTATAGATTTATATTAGGATTAAATGATTTAACTTACATGAAGTAATAGGCAAGCCCTGACAGACAGTATTATAAAACAACACGGAGGAAGTGGCTCCGGCTCCCATGAGTAGGAGATCTGGAGATACGCTGAAGAGGAGAGAGGAAGACTATGATGGGATTTGTCACTGTCAAAGCCCATTTTACCTCATTCATGGTTTATGTGTATAGGGTTAAGCTGACTATTTCCGTGGATATGGTAACACACTCTGTGTTTGCTTTATCTTGTTTTGTACTTAGCACAGCCTGGAGCCATAGAACAGCAGGTAGAAAGTTTGCTTTGCACGCGGCTGACCCGGCCAACCTGAGTTCGATTCCTCCACCCATCATGGAGATCTGGCAAGCTACGGAGAGTATTCTGCCCGCTGGGCAGAGCCTGGCAAGCGCCCTGTGAGGTATCCAATATGCCAAACACAGTAACAACAAGTCGTTACGGGGCTCCCTCGAGCAAATCAGATGAACAACGGGAGGACAGTGCTACAGTGCTATGAATATAAAACAGGAAGCCCCTTCAAAGAACACATACATAGTTTCTTATAAACTCTGGATACTACCAGGTGTGGCCCTCCACAGATAGTTTTAATTTTAAAAATAAATAACATGCCAACATGTTTGGCACCCCTTCCCAAATGAGTAAGTGGGGTGGTTTTTTTGGGTGGGGCACACCCAGCACTATCAGGGGTTATTCCTGGCTCTGCATTTTGGAATTACTACTGGCTGTACTCAGGGGAACATATGGGATGCTGGGGATTGAACACAGGATGGCTATGTGCTAGGCAAGTACTTTACCCAGTGTACTACCACCCAGACCCCAAGAAAAGTGTTTTTCATCTGTGATTTTATATTTTACTAAAACAAAACATTCTTTCTTTAGATATGGAGTTCTAAAAATATCATTTTGCATTGGAAATATTTATTTATATATTTTAGACAAAAGTAAAAAAAATAATTCAATGTTTAAAATTTCTGTGCCCTAAGCATGAAACAGTTTCTGATCCAGACATCAAAGCTTGGATGAACAAAGGACTGTCTGCTTTGTCCTGGCTGATAGAAGAACACCACTACCAATGAACTGTTTCTTTGCCCTTTGCCAGGGTTGTGATCCTCTCAATATATGGTACACATATACTCATATTATATATGTGTACACATATATGATATTACATAAAATACATGTAGAGGCTAGAGAAAAGGTTAAAGAAAAAAACATTATGTTCTTCTGGTTGGAGACTAATTTTAGGTTAATTTTTTTTTAATTAGTGTGGACTAGAACTCTTCTATTGCCATATTTACTCAGACATGATATCATGCAAACTGATTGCATTAGGAAATAGTTTTTTTCCTCCTAATGAATCAGCATCTCTCTTGCTTGTTCTTCCATCATGTCTTGGTTCTAAGGTTGGAAGAACATGATATTAGGTTCCATGCTTTATGTAATAATGATGAAAAGGGTTCAGAATGTTGCTATTATAACTTCTGTTTTTAAGAAATAATTAAATTACCTTTCCACACCTTTTTGATACATTCAGAGATGCTGAGAGCTACCTTCAGCTTTTTGTGTTGGGGGTGCTAGAGATTAAACACCAGCTCATCTCATGCAAAGTAGGTGCTCAAGAAATTGAACTATTTCTTCGGCTCCTAGATTTTTCTTTGTGTGTGTGTGCATTTATGTGTTGGGGGTAAAACCAGCTGTGCTCAGGGATCACTCCTGTCTCTATGATCATGGGTCACTCACTCCTGGAAGAGCTCAGGAGATCATGGGGGATGCCATGGATAAAACTCAGGTTGCCTGCCTAAAAGGCAAGCATCCTTCCTCCTGTACAATTGCTCCAATCCCAACCTTGGATTACTTTCTAAATCTTTATTATTTATCGTAATTCTTATGGAGGTGCAATTCACATAAAAGCATAGACTTTACTTAAATGGGAGTCTTCACTTCAATGAGAGTCTTTACTTCATCTTTCCTTCAATGGGTTTTGATGAAATATGACACAGAACACTTCTGAGATTATTTGATCAGGCTTCTTTCCAGACAATACCCTTTAAACACTCAGTTACCATTGGCCCTTTGTTGCTACCTTGCTGTGTATCTTTAAGTCTCACATATGAGAGAGATCATTCTGTATCTATCCCTTCCCTTCTGAATGACTCCACTCAACATAGTGCTCTCTAGTTTCATCATTTTGTGGCAAATTGCATGACTTTGTCCTTTTTAAGAGTTGTATAGTGGTTCATTGTGTATCTATATCACAATTTCTTTATCCTTTCATTTGTAGTTGGGCATTGGAGCTGTTGGAATATCTTTGTACTGTATTAAGGGTGCATGGGAGTCTGAGTGAAAGGGAGGGGTCTTCTTTCCTTAGAGTGCTCTGGTAATTGGTGTGGTGTTGGAATTAGATATACATAAAATCACCATTAGCAGTATTGTAACTCACAGTAGAGTATTTTAATCAACGAAGATAAAAAAGTTATCCATTAAAAAATAAAATAAAAGAGATGAATTGTTCTGCTTTCTTATTGTCATTCTTCAGTTTACCTGCTTGGACATTGAATAAAAAGAATTATTTGACACTTATTCTTTTGTAGTTACTTTCCTTTGTTCAACATAATTTGGTACACTTTTTACCCATTTATTTATCTATGTCTGAGATTCATCTGTACTTCTATGTATTAGTGGCTTGCTCTTTTATTTATTACTGAGTTTTATTTATTACTGAGTGGGAGTCCACTTCATGAAAAAAATGTTTTTTCCTGTTGTTAGTTGTGGACATTCCTGTTGTGGCCCCCACAGGTTCTCACTTTCTGATATTTATATCCGTGAGCAATCCCATTCCTTTGAGTGTGAGTTAGAGCTAGTGATTCTGTACTAGTGAACAGAATGTGGCAAATGTCATGGACATTCACGTTTGTTCCTGACTGTTGCTTCCAAGGTTTGGATTGACTTTTTGCTTTTTCTTCTCAAGGGAAACGATGTTGGAAGCTATGCTATGGAGAAATCCCTCTGACAAGGAACACAAGAAGACATACTGCCAGCAGCCAAGTAAGGACTCAGCCTGTCATCACCTGTGAAGATCTGAGCCTTGCAAGCTATAGAATAAATATTGAAATGGATTATTCCTTGGGTTGAGCCTTGTATAACTGCAGCACCAATCAACACCATCACTAAGACTTGGGAGAGAAAAATAGCTTTTCTTGTTGTCCTTCTTGATTCACAGAGATTATGAAATGTTATTATTGAATACTTTAAGTGACCACACTTGGTAGCATGAGTGTGGGGATGCAGCCATCAATAGACTGCATGGCTGATGGGGCTCCCAGAGATACAGTTGGCAGTGTTGGAGTGGGAGTGGGCATACCATACTGAAGATCAAATTTTGGGTCTTGCACATGAGAGGCATGTGCTCTACCCTTGGTGTAATGTCCTGCCCCTTGATGTTTGTCTTTGTAGCTTGTTAGGCCACACGCAGCAGTTCTTGGGGCCTTTCCCAACTCAGTGGTTGGAGGTCACTCCCAGCAGTACTCAGAGGACCATGCAATGCCAGGGGTCAAGTGGGAAGTGCAGAGGGTGGGGTCTCCTGTATGCAAAACATGAGCTCCAGCCCACCAAGCTATATCCCTGGCCCCAACTGAATATCATTTGAATCCACTGAAATTTGGCATTTTTGTTATGCAACAGTGACCACTGCAATAGAGCTCTGAATATTTTCTATTTGGCTATTTGTTAGAAATATTTTCCTCCTCCTCCTCCTCCTCCCTCTTCTTTTTCCTCTTCCTTTTCCCCTTCCCCTTCCCCTTCCCCTTTCCCTTCCCCTTCCCCTTCCTCTTCCTCCTCTTCCTCTTCCTCTTTCTCTTCCGCTTCTGCTTCTGCTTCTTCTGCTTCTTCTGCTTCTTCTTCTTCTGCTTCTGCTTCTGCTTCTGCTGTGGTCACATCCTATAGTGATCAGGAGTTGCTCCTGGCTCTACACTCAAGAATCATTCCTGGTGGACTTAGGGGACCATCTGGGATACCAGGGATCATACGAGTTTTGGCCCCTCAGGTTGAGGGCTTGCTTAGAGGGCTGGAGTCCATGCCTTGCTTAGTCAGGCCCATAATTTAATCCCCAACAATGAGGGGCCGCTAGGCACTGTTGGGGCGGCCATCCCATGGCTCCCATCATCACAGACCAAGCAGCACTGCAGCACAGAACCAGCAAGTTTCTCTGGGATTGGCCCTGGGACCATGAACATCACAGGGGAGACCCGGTAGGAAAAACAAATGTGTTTGCCATAAATAGCCTAATGTCAGGTCTTTCTTCCTCACCTCCCTATTTCTTTGATAGTCTCCATTTTTAGTTGCAATGCTTAGTCCATTTGAATATAATGTAACTATTGATATGGATGGGTTTAAGCCTACTATTTTATTTTCTACTTCTTTCTTTTGTTTTTCTATTTTTCTTCCTTTTGTTTTGGTGCTATCAATGACTTCTCAGTATTTCATTTTATCTCTCTATTGATTTTTTAAATTGAATCACAGTAAAGATACAGTTATAAAGCTTTCATGATTGAGTTTCAGTCAAAAATTGTCGAATACCCATCTTTACATCAATGTACATTTTCCACCACCAATGTTACTAGTATCCCTCCTGCCACCCCCCACCCCCCCGAATCCACCCCCTGCCTCTATGGAAGACAATTTTTCCCACTCTTTCTCTCTACTTTGGGGCATCATGGTTTGCAATACAGATACTGGAAGGCCATCATGTTTGGTCCTTTATCTACTTTCAGCACACTTCTCTCATCCTGAATGATTCCTCCAACCATCATTGACTTAGTGATCCCTTATCTATCCCACCTGCCTTCTTCCCCAACTCATGAGGTAGGGTTCCAAACTGTAGAGCAATCCTCCTGTCCCTTGTCTCTGCTATTCTTGGGTGTTAGTCTCATATTATGCGATTTTATATTCCACGGATGAATGCAGTCATTGTATGTCTGTCCTTCTCTTTCTGACTTATTTTATTTAGCATGGTTCTCTTTATGTTCATTCACTTATAAGCAAATTCCATGACTTCATCTTTCCTAACAGCTGCATAGTATTCCATTTTGTAGTTGTACCAAAGTTTCTTTAACCAGTTATCTGTTCTTGGTCACTGGGGTTGCTTTCAGATTCTGGCTATTGTGAACAGTGCTGCAATGAACAAAGGTGCAGATATCATTTCTACTGTGCTTTTTTGCACCCTCGGTATATATTACCAGAACTGGTACTGTTGGGTCATATGGAAGTTCAATTTCTAGTTTTTTGAGGAATGCCCATATTGTTTTCCAGAAAGGCAGAACCAGTCAGCATTATCACCAACAATGAAAGAGAGTCCTTTTCTCCACACATCCGTGCCCGCAACTAGTTGTTCTTGTCCTTTTTGATAAGTGCAAGTCTCTGTGGTGTAAGATGATATCTCATTGTTGTTTTGATTTGCATCTCCCTGATGATTAGTGATGTTGAGCATTTTTTTCATATGCCTTTTGGCCATTTGTATTTCTTTTCTGAGGACGTTTCTGTTTATTTCTTCTCTCTATTTTTTGATTTGCTCGAGCGGGCCCAGTAACGTCTCCATTGGAGACTTTGTTGTTACTGTGTCTGGCATATCGAATACTCTCGGTAGCTTGCCGGGCTCTCTGAGAGGGGCAGAGGAATCGAACTCGGGTCAGCCATGTTGGCCGCTTGTAAGGCGAACGCCCTACCTACTGTGCTATCACTCCAGCGGGGTTCTACTAACTGTTTGTATATGTTGGATATTAACCCCTATCTGATGGGTATTGGGTAAATAATTTTCCCCATTGAGTGGGTTCCCTCTATATTTGGGTTTCACTGTTTCTTTTGAGATGCAGAATTTTTTTAGTTTAATGTAGTCCTATTTGTTTATGTTTGTTTCCACTTGCTTGGCCAGTGGTGTTTCATACTTGAAGATGACTTTAGCTTCAATGTCATGGAGGGTTCTGCCTCCATTTACCTCCATGTACCTTACAGATTGGGCTGGAGTGATAGCACAGCAGCAGGGCATTTGTCTTGCACATGGCTGACCTGACCGACCCGGGTTCAATTCCTCTGCCCTCCTCGGAAAGCC